TGGTGAACCAGTGACAAGCGAGGTATTCCAAGCAGAAATCAAAGTTATTATTGGAGTATGGCAAGTGAAGGAGCAATAGATCTCGAGGCCAAGGCCATTGATTCAAATCAGGAAAGAACAACATGCGCGCTGAGTTGGTAATAATTAATATGCTTGGGAGTCCAGGTGAAACACAAAGGTTTGGTAAATGTCGGTACGAGCGGTGCAACAGATAAAGGGTATTGGGCCTGAACGAGAAGAGGTGTTTTCCGGGTCAAGGCTTACAAAGGAAGTGGTTAGTCAAGGAATGAGCAGGGTCGTCGAATGGAAACCAAAATGAAGGAGCAACAGACCTCAAGGCCGAAGCCAGTGGTTAAGTCAAGAAAGAACAGCGTATACACTGAGTGGGGGTAATGGACGTGCTTTGGGGTTCATGCGAGACACAAAGGTTGGGTAGATGCCAGTTCATGAGCAATGCAACAGATAGAGGGTGTTGGGTCTGAATGGAGAAGAGGTATTTTCAAGGGTAAAGATGACAGAGGAAAGTGGTTAGTCACCAAACAAGCAAGGTCTTCAAATGGAATCAGCGATCATGGGAAGAAAAGGAGAAATCACCCTCAGAGTTCAAGGCCACAAACCAACCACCACATTTTTAAAACTGACAAAAATTTTCTTTGATTGAAACAGGGGCAGAAAGTTTTCGTTGGTTTCGGAGAAACCCTCCTTAGGGAAAAGCAAGCACCAAAACAGGTATGACGAGAAATTTTCAGGACCCTCTTGGAAAATGGGACTAGGTTTTCAAAACAATCATGAATAGCATAATTTAGCACAAATGTTGTCTAAGATAGGATTCAATTAGGAGTGTCAAGACCCTCCTGAATGATGGGACACAGTTTTAACACCTCGTTTAGGCAACGAGATATTGTTCAGCCGTAGAATTGGCACACTTAAGATGAGACTCGAGTTTTGATTTTTCAGGACCCTCCTGGATAATGGGACGTAGCTTTAAAGTTTGTTTAGATAACAATATATAGTGGGAGTCATACCTTCAGTAGATATAACTTAGGTTAAAACTATCTTTTAACTAGAAGTTGTCAGGACCCACCTGGATAATGGGGAGTAGTTTAAGACCTTTTAGACAATTAATGTAGTGGGGGTAATACCTCTAGAGGATAGAACTTAGGTTCATAATTATTAGAAGTTGCCAGGACCTCCCTGGATAATAGGACTTAGCTTTCAAATTCTTGTAATAGTTGGTAGAATAATTCAGTTTAACACTTACCCATGTACCCAGCTACCAAACTGGGGCAGAAAATTTTCTTTATTTTTGTCTATTTTGTTGCAGTCAGGAGCCCACCTGGAGAACAAGGGTAATACTTTCAAGTTCAGCAATCAGGAGCCCGACCTGGAGGAACAAGGGTAATACGTTTCAAGCGNGAGTTATCAGGACCTTCTTGGATAGTAGGATTTGGCTTTCACATTCTTGGTAGAATAATTCAGTTTAATACTCACATCTGTACCCAGTCACCAAACTGGGGCAGAAAATTTTGTTTGTTTATTTTGTTGCAGTCAGGAGCCCACCTGGAGAACAAGGGAATACTTTTCAAGTTCAGCAATCAGGAGCCCACCTGGAGAACAAGGGAATGCTTTTCAAGTTTCAGCAGTCAGGAGCCCACCTGGAGAATAAGGGAAGTACAATTCAAATTTTAGCTTTTAATATTTGATAACATGCTGTACCCAGCCACCAAACTGGGGCAGAAAATTTTCTTTGTTTGTTTATTTTGTTGCAGTCAGGAGCCCACCTGGAGAACAAGGGAATACTGTTCAAGTTCAACAATCAGGAGCCCGACAGGAGAACAAGGGAATACTTTTCAAGCTTCAGCAATCAGGCGCCCACCTGGAGAACAAGGGAAGTACAATTCAAATTTTAGCTTTTAATTTTTATTATTTGATAACATGCTGTGCCCAGCCACCAAACTGGGGCAGAAAATTTTCTTTGTTTGTTTTGTTGCAGTCAGGAGCCCACCTGGAGAACAAGGGAATACTTTCCAAGCGTTGCAGTCAGGAGCCCACCTGGAGAACAAGGGAATACTTTTCAAGCGTCAGCAATCAGGAGCCCGCCTGGAGAATAGAAGCATATATTTCAAATTTCAGCAGTCAAGCATCACTCGGAGGAATGGCAAAACATCTCCGATCATAATGCAAAGGCAACAACAAGAGTTCCATCGGAAGGATACAAGTTCAAGGCGACAAGAACACAAGAGCAAGTTTGAAGGCATAGATAGGACCTGTTTTGTAATTCGTAGCTTAGACTAGCTTCTTTTTATTTTGACACGGTGTAATAAGGAGGTCAGGAAGCAGTAGCAACAACAACAGCAGTGAAAGTCACAGCTCCTGGTAGTCCCAGCTACCAAACCTTCCCGAACTACACTGACCTGATTCCTTTTTAGCCAAGGATATGTAGGCAACCTTTGAAGCAGGGTTCGGTCAGACGATTTTCAAAAATGCTTCACACGGAGTATTCGAATGGGCAAAAATACGCTCGTTTCCGCTCAACTTTCTTGCCACGAAAAAACTCTTCGTGTTTCCGAGCAAAAGAGGGGCAGCTGTTGAGCACGTTGATTGTTTTGGCCCCTTATATGAATTACAATCATTAAACTTCAAAATAAAATAATTTCTTTTAGTTATTTACAATTTTTGTGGATTTTTGTGGGCATTTTATGCAATTTTTAGTTGTTGGCATTCTTAATTAATGAAAAAACCACAAAATATATCTGGCCATTTATGTATGCATTTTTAATTTAACAATAAAATTCATTAAAAAAATACAAAAATAACGGCATTTGCATTCGCTTATTTAGTGGTTAGTTTACATTTTTTTAGATTAATTAATTTTATTAGGATTTTAACAAAAAATACAAAAATCCAAATTGGTATTTTAATTAACTAGGTGTTTTGATTGTTATAATTAGACTTAATATGATTGGGTAGGTTTTTAGTTTTTAGTAATTAATTTAGGGTTTTTTAGTTAAGTTTTTGAAAAAAAAGAAAAAAAAGAAAAGGAAAAAGAATTTTGGTAATTTGTTGAAAATAGGAATAGACTGAAGAGAAGAAGAAATTGGCCAGTCTCGTTTAAACTTGATCAGGCCCACGATCGAACCCCCTTTTTTTCTAACTGCCCGGCCACGCCCAACTCCACACCCCTAACCCGGTCCCAGTCCCCCCCCCCCCCAACCCCACCCAAAACGACGCCGTTTGGCTCGGATCAATCCTGGCCGTCTAGGATTATTGATCCAACGGACGAGAACCCCCCATCACTTAATATTTAAATGTCCGAACCATACCCACCCCCCTTCAGACCCCCTAGTCCGTCTCTTACATCCCAAACCCTAGAGATTAGCCGCCCTAATACATGAACCCCAAAATCACACCACAGAAATACCAGCAATTTTTCAAAGTTCAAAAAATGCACCCGTGGCCTATCCAAAACTCACCCGAGCCTTCGGGGCTCCAAACCAAATGTACACACAACCTCAAAAACATCCTACGGACTTATTCGCGCGATCAAATCGCCAAAATAACATCATAAACATCGAATTACACCTCAAAATTCATGAATTCTTTCAAACTTCATAAAACATCAAATTTTCCAATTTAGGTCCGAAGCACGCCAAACGACGTCCGTTTTTCATCAAATTTCAGAGAAACATCTTAAATCATATATAAGACCTGTACCGGGCGCCGGAACCAAAATACGGGCCTGATACTAACATGTTCTAATCAAATTTCATTTCAAATTTCCTTAAACAATTTCAGAAAACAATTTCTTTCAAAAATTCATTTCTCGGGCTTGGGACCACGAAATTCGATTCCGGGCATACGCCCAAGTCCCATATTTTCCTACGGACCCTCCGGGACCGTCAAATCACGGGTCCGGGTCCGTTTACCCAAAACGTTGACCATGGTCAAATTTATTCATTTTAACATCAAACTCAGCATTTTTCACAAAATTTCATATTTAAGCTTTCCGGCTACGCGCCCGGACTGCGCACGCAAATCGAGGCGACTTTAAATGAGGTTTTCAAGGCCTCGGAGATACAGAATTCAATTAAATAGGTGATGACCCTTTGGGTCGTCACATAATTATAGTAAAACTTGAGTAGGGAGGGTACTATAGTTTCATATAGTGTATAGGAATGTAAAAATCTCTTTTGGAAACAGCCTTTCTCCCCTCGGGTAGGGGTAAGGTTTGCGTACACACTACCCTCCCCAGACCCCACTAGTGGAATTTCACTGGGTCGTTATTACTGTTGTAGCCTTTTATGTATCCTTCTTTATAATGTGATTGTTAGTCTCAAAATTATCTTGAAAATGAGGATTAAATTATTTCCAGTTTTTACTTTTTCACCCATCAACTTTTTTTATTACTATTATTTTGGTGCTACACACACACATCTTTCATAAATGCACCTTGTGTTCTCAACAAACAAAATTAAATAGACATATCTAATAAGAAAAAAATAAACAATATATAGGCCCTTTTATTTATAATCACAAACCTGCTTTTTCATATTTATTATAGGCTGCTTCTTATGATAGCTACAATGTCCTTATCTTATCATATTAATTCTACTCACTCTCCATGTTAATTTACTGTTATGTTGTTCGGACTCTTCAAAAATATTACTGGGTGAATGTCAGATCCTTCTAAAGCGGTACATTTTTGAAAGATTCCGACATGAATACGGCAACATTAATTTTTGAAGAATCCGAGCGAAATATATATCTATCAACTGCTTGTGGGAGTCAATTGATACCCCTTTGCTAGAAAATTATGTGTTGTTAGATGTAAAAAAAAATTATGCACATATATTATATATTGAATCCCCTTAACTTTTTCGTATGTTTAATTTTTTTATATTTTGACATCCTTAGCGAAAATTTCTGATTCCACCACCTTCCAATACATGATTCCCATTTAGATTGAAACTTATTTTTTCTTCTATGTTTCTATCTTTTAGGTGTGAAATCAGTGGAAATAAACAGAAAAGATAGCAGGGTGACAGTGACTGGTTATGTAGAAAAAAACAAGGTGTTAAAGAAAGTACAGAAAACTGGAAAGAAAGCTGAAATCTGGCCATATGTTAAATATAATTTAGTATCAAATCCTTATGCTGTTGGAGTATATGATAAGAAGGCACCTTCTGGTTATGTCACGATTGATCCTCAAGCTCTTCAAATTCCAAATACACCTTCTGAGATATTCACTTCTATGTTTAGTGATGAAAACCCTAATGCTTGTTCAATTATGTATAATTTGTATTGGAAAATTAGTACAATATACTTGGTAAAAAAAAAGGGATTATTACACAGATAACCGGCCATATTCAATGTTTACCTTTTCTAGACGGTATACATGGATTATATAATGATTATACACGTATATTCATTTATTATACATGAATTATACATCAGCTGGCTATTTTTAGTTTAAAAGATTAGGTAGGCAGTTATTTGGGTTAATTCTTAAAAAAAGAAACATGGAAGTTGAATAGGTATCTTAATCTCAAGTGTCACTACAAGAAAAAAGGCATTTAGCGAGGGGAAATCTGGTCGCTAAATGTCCTAATGCGATCCTTATTGGTCAAATACAACCAGATCCGGTCGTCACCGATTGCTAAAAGCTCAGACATCAAAACTACATTCCGATGCAAAACTTTCGTATCCTGTGTTTAAATAAATAAATGAATGCAACACTTGTATATCTCATACACGTATTTCTCACTTAACCATATATATATTCTCACTTAATTTTTATCCGCTCAAGCATATACAATCATATATGAGTAATTTGATATTCTAAGGCTAAGTTAGGAGTATGTATAAATCTAGATGAGCTAGGGACATTGCAACATATGTCTAGGTTGACAAGATCCACCTAGGAGTCAAAAAATTCAAGCAATTTTAGGTCATATCTCATATGCATGCATGGATAACTAATAGTCGGCAATATACCTCTTTTGAGATTTCTCTTATGGCATGTTAGTCATTAAATTCGAAAAATGTATATTTTAGCCTCTTCCAAAAATAGTATATATATATATATATATATATATATATATATATATATATATATATATATATAGCTTCGGCCGACCGATCAATGTTGTATTTTGCCCTCTAAATTCGGGAGAAATTCAAAAAGGAAAACTTACACAAATGTCCCAAATAAATCTCAACTTACCAACCTCTAGCCATTAGTCATAGACTTACCAAAACTAGCCAACAAAAATTGAAAAACCAAATAATAGGGTTCTTTCTCTCAAAGAATCACATGCAAAAATCACCTTCCATATTTTTAAGAGTCATTAGCAACATTAGCTACAAGACGGAAAGGAAATTTCATGGACGGGGTAGCAAATAAGGTGATGAAATACAAAAATCTATACAATATTCCAAAAATTTAAACAAAAAAGGAACTTTTTCAATGGGTATAGTTGAAATTCATTGAAAATATATAGATAAGTCAATATACAAAATTTGAGGAAGATTGGAGGTGATTTGGACTGTTTTTGCATCAAAAATTCGTAATTAAATCGAGTTCAAAAAAGTCTTCTGCAACACATGTATCAAACATGTATCACGCATGTATCTCACACACAGGTATACATGGATATACACAGTTGATACAAATATGATACATATGTGATACGTAAATGATACACAGTGTGATACACATATCATTTTTTTCATGTTCAGCTTTTACTTCGAATTTTCAATTCAAACCACCTCAAAACTTCACCAAATCATCCCAAAACTGAGATTCAAGTTCCTTAAGTTGTGTCCAATCTATTCTAATAACACCCACTCAAAACAAAGCAAAAATTTGATATTTTTTTGCTACAAATAGCTAATTGGCTAATTTGGCTAATATTAGTAATATTTTATCTGTTGGCCAATTTTTGTAATGAGCTACTTATAAATGGACATAGCTGGTAATTTCACATTCAAAAATAGCCAGATTTACAAGTGGTCGTTCAAAAATAGCCCAGTTTCAAAAGTAATCGAAATTTAGCCACTTTTCATGTAAAGATAAATCTGAGCGAAAACACTATTCAAAACCCGAAAAATACGCCAGTATATTATGCAGGAGTTCCAGCATAAGTATACTTGAACTCCAGCATATTATACTGGAGTTCCAGGATAAGTATGCTGGAACTCCAGCATAATATGATGGAGTTACAGCATAAGTACACTAGAACTCCAGCATAATATGATGGAGTTACAGCATAAGTACACTAGAACTCCAGCATAATATACTGGAGTTCCAGCAAAGTATACCGGTCCAGTATAATATGCTGGAAGTTCATGCACAAGTGATCGAATCTCCAGTATATTATGCTAAAACTTTCCGTGTGTTGGAGTTCCAATATAATATGCTGGAAGTTCATACACAGGTGCACCGAACTCCAGTACATTGTGCTGGACCGGTCTCTGTTGCAGCAAAATAGTAGCTATTTTTATTGATTTGGTAAGCGCTGGCTATTTTTGAATGACCAGTCCGAAAACTGGCCAGACCGTGCTATTTTAACTTTTCGATCATGTTCAATGTAATTGGGCCTCAAAAGGCCGATGCTATAATTGGGCTGTTGACCCACTTGCCTTCCTTATCACTAATAAAAACGCAAAATTTTAACCAAATTCATCGGAAATTGGCACGTCGAAAATATTTTTGATGGACTTTTCGTCGAAAATTCCTTCCCAACGAGCTAATTTCTTTCGTAATTCGTGTTTGTTATTTGTGTCAAGTTCTTAATTTTGGATACTCTTATGAAATTCTTTCTTTTCTCTTTAACTATGACTAATGGTGGCAAAATGATTAAAAGAAAACAGTTATTCACACATATTATCAATTAAATAATAAATTTTTTGAAAAGTGGTCAAATATGGATAAAAACCATATTATCCATTTAGAAAATAGATAACTAATGGTTTAATTTTTACATTCGTAAAGCGTCAAATTAGGAGTTTCTTAAATTTGGGAGACTAGGAATTCTCCCAAAAGTGATCGTATTCAAGAAGCCATAGAATAATATGAATATCCATATTACCCGTTTTTATCCGTATTAAATGAGTCAGGTCGAATAATAAATCCATTTTTTACATTATGACCTACCCATATCCGACCCTACCCACCCGTTTGCCACCCCTACCTATGAACTTCCAACTTAGAAAGATTACTGATGATAGGCTATAATTGCATATTTTAGTCGCTTATTACACTCGAATTTACTGCACTTTAATTGAGTTTGCCCTTTAATCGCTAGTGTTTTGCACTAATTGTGTGTTTTATGCCTTATAGGAGTGATTCCGAGCTATATAGATGTTATAGAATGAATTCAAGTGATTTGGAGCTTTGAAGTCTGAGTAAAAGCTCAAGGAATTAAGCCGGGATCGTATTCGGGGATCAACGGATGATAAAACAACAAAACGAAGACTCGAGTAGGCATATTGCGCACTGTCTAGTAAAATGCATATAACTTTTTGCTCCGAACTCCATTTGGGCTCCACAATATATGGTTGGAAAGCTAATTCAAAGGGCTACAACTTTCATGTTTTACGTTTTTCCAAATTCGGAACGGAACAGGGTGAAAAACGAGCAGACGCGAGAAGGACGTGCGAAGTCGCGCATAGTTCGCGCGCTAAAAAGATTGAGGCAGAAAGGTGCGCGAAGACCGCGCGAAGTCGCGCGTCTGACCCGGGAAAAGTGTCCTTTTTCATATTAGAGAAGGTATAATTGTTTGGGCCTAACCCTACTTGGTATATATACACGGGAGGACGCCACTTTTAGGGGATCGAACATATTTTGGAGGAGAATTTACGTGGAAGAACACACACCACGCTTAGGTTGGACATAGATTCGACCTAAGGAGGCAAGAACACATTAGGAGCAAGGCGGAGAATTCTTCTACGAGTTTTTTCTTCCTCTTCCTATTTTCCATTGTTGTTATGACTTTTAGTATTGTAGTTTTACTTACTATTATGAATAGCTAATTTGTTATCTAGAGTTTGATAGAACCTTTTGTAGGATAAATTCTTGTTATGTTTTTATATAATTGAGCCATAGCTTTTCTCTATTTGTTCAACTACGTTTATAGATTGAAGAGCTCTCAATTAGCTGTGCCTATTTAGTATGCATAACTTGGGAGAGAGTGCATATTTAGGTAATTGTTGAACAACACCACTCCCAGAGTATATGAGGGATCAATAACCGAGGGTTTAAAGGTGGGATTAGGGATAACGAAGCCTTGGATGCAATCTGAAGTGAGCTGTATTAAAAGCCAGCTAGCGTAACTCGGGAGAGTGCGTCTAGTAAATTGTCGTAATTACTCGGGAGAGATTTACGGTAATAAGAGTGCTCATGATCGGTAGAGAATACTTAGACGAAATTATAGAAGACATAGCGGGAAGGATTCCGAAAATAGGGAAAATCATAACTCTAGACCTCCTTAATCTTTTCTCTAACCCTCAGTATCGTTAGTTGTTAATTTACTATTTTAATTTGTTATTTAAGTAGTTAAACACAAGAATCTTAATATCTATAAGTTAGGAATTGTTCAAGCTTGTCTTCTTGGTGATAGTGAACAGCTATAGCTAAACCTTAGTTCTCTGTGGAATTCGACTCCGGACTTGTAAACCGAATTATATTTGCAGCGATCGCTTAATCTTTTTTATAAGGCATAATTGGACGTGATCAATTACTAGTGTGTCAATTTACCCTCCTAACGATTTCAACCTCCATCTCTACAGGTTAATGGTTCAACATAATTCTTTACAATTTTAATAGGAGAAAATGATCCTGCAAAGATATTCTATATCTTATCTTCAGATCTCTTATATGTTCTTAGAAGATTTGATATATAACTAAAACAAAAATTGTAATAAATCACCAAACCGATGAGTGATTTTCAAAAGACTTTTTTTTCGATGCGTAAGAATTGATAGTATATTAATGATCATAAAAAGGTATTGTGGAATAACTGAGATTTCTTTGTGGGGCGCATATTTCCCTTTAGTGAGTCGATTTGTGTAACGACCCGACTGGTCGTTTTGAGCAATTTCGTTCGGTTCGGCAGGTTGAGGTCACGAGTAGCTTCATATTATGTGTATTGGCTTGCATGCATGGTTGGATTCCGTTTCCGGATGATTTAGAGTCAAATTGGAAGAAGGAAACTAGTTTTGGAAGTTTAAACGGTAAAAATTTGACCAGAATTCGACTTTGAGTAAACGGCCCAGGAATGGGTTGTGGGTGGTCTCAACAGCTTCGTATGGTGATTTTGGACTTAGGCGCGTCCGGATTCTGATTTGGAGGTCCGTAGGATAAATTAAGGCGTTTCGGCGAAAGTTGGAAAAGTGAAGTTTGGAAAATAGAGAAGTTTGACCCATAGTTGACTTTTGTGATATCGGGGTCAGAATGCGATTCCGAGAGTTGGAACAGCTCCGTTATGTCATTTTGGACTTGTCAGCAAAATTTGGCGTCATTCCGGATTGATTTGATAGGTTTCGGCACGAGTTGTGGAAGTTGGAAGTTTTGAAAGTTCCTAAGTTCGATTCATGGTATGTTTCGTTGTTCCGAAGTTGTTTGAAGTGATTTGAGACCTCGAGCGAGTCCGTGTTAGGTTATATGACATGTTTGTGTGTTTAGACGGGGTCCCGGGAGCCTCGGGTGTGCTCCGGGTGGGCTATGGGTCATATTCGCATTGTTTGGACTCCTATTTTCTGCTTCTGGTATTTCTTCTCCGCGATCGCGAACAGCCTTTCGCGTTCACAATGTGTTGCTGCTGGCTACCTCGAAATCCTTCTTCGCGTTCGCATTCATCCTCTCGCATTCGCGAAGTTCTTCCCTTTCCCTTCTTCGCGTTCGCTTCCGTCCCATCGCATTTGCGTAATAGAAAATGGGAGATGGGCACTGCTGGTCATTTACTCTTCGCGTTCGCGTCGTTCTTCCCGCGTTCGCGTAAGTTCCGCTTCTTCTTCTACGCGTTCGCGGCCCTTTGCTCGTGTTCGCGTAGGGCCATCCTGGCAGCCTTCATTTTTCTTCTTCGCGAACGCGTGCATCCTTCTGCGATCGCGATGCTTTATGACCTGGGCAAAATAAATAGTACTCTATTCCGAGCGTTTGCCATTTTCACCATTTTTGGAGTTCTAGAGCTCGATTTTGGGCGATTCCTTGTGGGTTTTTCAAGTAAATTGATTGGATAAGTGTTCTTCACCTAGAATTGATTATATTCCATGATTTTATCTTCATTTTTATCATTTAATTTGTGATTTGGGTTGTGGAAAATGTTGGTTTTTGAAGAAAAATCCTAAAATAAAAAATCACGATTTGAGGGGCAAAATGGTATCGGAATTTGATAAATTTTGTATGGTTAAACTCGTATCGGAATGAGTATTCAATTTTTGTAAAATTTACCGGGCTCCGAGGTGCGGGCCCGGAGGTCGACTTTTTGACCGATTTTTGGATTTTATTAAAGATTGAGACTTTATGATCCGGAATAGTTTCTTATGTGTTTTATTTGTGCTTTGAGGTTAATTTGGTTAGATTTGAGCCGTCCGGAGGTCTCTTCACCCGAGAAGTGCATTTTAGAGTATCGGTTTGTCGTCTTTGAGGTAAGTGTCTTGCCTAACCTTGTGTGGGGGACTTCGCCTTAGGATTGAGTCTTCTATGCTAATTGTAGCCCGTGCACGTGAGGTGACGAGTGTGTGGTCGGACTTATTTTTTTGTGGGAAATTTGCCTTTAGGGTTTTTAGGTCTATATATTCATTAAGTGAGAATTTTTCCGATATGATTGAGCTTCCTAATTGTTTGTTTTACCTCTATATGCTCTAAATGATGTTGTTAGCTTTCCTCTAATCCTTACTTGTTACTTGACCCTTGTTGCCTTAATTGAAGTGATTGCCTCCCTTATTGTTTTGATACTTCTTGATTGTGAGTTCCTCTATGACTTCGTGCAAATATGTTGCATGTCCAATTGTTGTGGTTACTGGTGTAGTTATCTCGTATTTATTATGTCTTGTTGTTTTGTTAAGGTTATTATGCTTCTTGGTTTTTCGTGATCCTTATTATGTACTATTTATGCTTATATTGACGATTATTCATATTGGACAAGACTTATGATATTCTCTTGGTAATTGATCATTGTTGAGTATTGATTCAAGTTTAGATCCATATTGCGAAGCTAATTGTTGAAACAAGATTGGTTATTGTTGATTCCCTTGCCGGGATGTGATTGTTTCTATAGTTGATTCCCTTGCCGGGATGTGATTGTTTCTATTGTTGATTCCCTTGTCGGGATGTTATTCTTTCTATTGTTGATTCCCTTGCTGGGATGTTGTTGCTTTTACTGTTTGGGTGAGGAAAGAGTGATAAAGCACGAAGGGTGATGCCGTGCACATTTACATTTATATTGATGCATATGGTGAGGAAAGAGAGATAAAGCACGAAGGGTGATGCCGTGCACATTTACATTTATATTATTCATATGGTGAGGAAGAGTGATAAAGCACGAAGGGTGATGCCGTGCACATTTAAATTTATATTGATGCATATGGTGAGGAAGAGAGATAAATCACGAAGGGTGATGCCGTGCACATTTATATGATTCATATGGTGAGGAAGAGTGATAAAGCACGAAGGGTGATGCCGTGCACACTATTATTGATTGCATGGTGAGGATTAAGAGTTAAAGCACGAAGGGTGATGCCGTGCACTTTCTGTTGTTGTGTTTATTTGTTGTTATCAATTCAAGTGTTTTAACTGTTTAAATTCCTTTATTACTGTGATCCTTTGTGTTGGAACCTACAGTGATTTCAATACCTCGCCGTATTTATATTTATACATTCTAATACTTCAAACTTCAATAATTGTCACGTCTTTAATTTAATTAGTTTCTCAATTATATTCCCTTAAACCGCTTGAGGTTGTATTTTACTTAAAAGGGAATTTCTACTAAGTTTTAAGTTATTAACTCCCATGTTAAAGGTAATAATTCATTCGATGTTGTATTTCAATTGAAAAGGGGAACTTTCTTTACTCAAATAATTTCTAAAAATAACTTCATCTTTTCTCGCTGGTTTTCCTAATTAGTTTAGAAATTATAATTTACTTATATTATGTAAATGAGACTTCTTGAACATCTTGAGTGCGTTTGTATGGACATTATGTATTGTATAGCATGTGGATTTTGTTGTTAAAAGTGAGATGGAAAATATGAGGGCACAAGGTGCCATATGTGCTGAAGGTTCGGAAGTTGAGATTATGATATGAGAAACCGAGGATTGAGATGGTCGGGGTTGTGTATTAGACATGATGTGATTGATTGAGTTGGCATTGCCTACCTATTTGAATACATTCTTACTAGTCTTTGTTCATGTTATGTCAGTGTTGATTTACTTGGTTATCGTTCATTACTACTCGTGTTCTCCCTTTATTGTTCCTACTATTTGTATTTTGATTTCTCTCCGCTGTTGACATTACCTCGTTATCTTTATCTCGATATTTTATTATCATATCCTGTTCATTTCATTGACCAGTAGGTATCTTGACCGTTCCTGGTCACTACCCCACCGAGATTAGTCTTGATACTTACTGGGCACCACCGTGGTGTGCTCATGCTACACTTCTGTACAATTTTGTGTACATATCCAGGTATTCGATCAATATTAGCTATACGGGTCGTCGCGGTGGAGACTCACGGTAACCTGTTGCTGCGTTCGCAGGCCTCGGAGTCACCTTCGTTTGTATTTACATTCCATTGATTCCTTCTCATTCTGGAACAGTGCTGTATTTATTTTGTATGACTACTCTTAGAAAGGCTTATGACTTGTACCACCGGTTTTGGGAATTGTGACTTATTGAGAGTTATTTAATTTGAAGCTAGTAAATGTTAATGTTAGGTGCCATCACGACTCCTTCAGAGGGATTTTGGGTCGTGATAAGTTGGTATCAGAGCTCTAGGTTCATAGGTGCTACGAGTCATAAGCAGGTTTAGTAGAGTCTGGCAGATCGGTACGGAGACGTCTGTACTTATCTTCGAGGGGCTACAGAACTGTTAGGAAATTCCACTTCTTTCATTCCTTATTGTGCGATATTGATTCAGCTCGAAGTATATAACTTATGTTCCTTTACATCCACTCGTGTATAATATTACGCTCTCAGTGTCAGCTATGCGCCAGTGGCTCGTAATGCTACAGACGGGCTACGACGGGGTCGGGGATGTTCAGCATTGTCTCAACGTATCGTCCAGACTGAAGATGCAGAGGTATTGAGAGACTACTCAGTTGTTCATATGGAGGTGCAGCGGTTCCCGGCAGCTGATTTATGAGTGCGAGCTGGGAAGGTTAGTTTTGCGGATCATCAGATGTTGTTTTCTATGGCTTCGCTCCAAGTGGAGGAGTCCATTAGCGGCATTCAGATTGCAGAGTCAGATTTACACCAGTTGTGGCCTGGGTTATGCGTGTATGTGGTATTGGTGGGTTCCCAAATGTTGTGTATGACCAAGGTTTGAGATCTTGTACTAGATGATGTTGGGGCTTACAGTATTTCTACGTCAATAATGGATCTACATTTCAGCATCAAGGGGAGTCAGAAGAACAATTTCAGATTCACAGAAGGCCTATTCAGCGTGGGTATCATGGTTGCGGCAGAACAGGGTGCTTCAGAGGTAATGCGGTGGCTTATGAGCTTCTGGGCCATGTGGTATGTGTTAAGATCATCTGTATTTGGGCCTTGACTGGGATTATTGCATATCGACTATCTGAAGGAATGGGTCAATTCAGTAGTGTTGGGCCAGCATAGCAATGGAAGTAATGGGTCCTTTTGAATGGTAATTCTCTACTGGCATTCGTGGCAACACTCTTGGATTGGACGGTTTGTGCGACTCGGTTGAGTTGGGGAGGTGCAGTTCTGATGGCTTAGTTGCGTGCAGACGGATCTCGGAGGGAATCTCGATGGTTTGACTACGGCTTGAGTCGGGTGTCTACTATGGGCATAAAGAATATGTGGTACATTGCGGTTTCTCCTCAATCGGTATCTGAAACTAATAGAGTGTTGGTGTTATTGGCTATCATATTTGAAGAGTGTGCATTTTGGAAAGGACCTTGAGTTTTGGTTTGCAGTGCGTGGCTGGTAGCATGGTGATTAGTGGGGAGGCTTTCGAGCTTCATGTTTTGTTACGCGGCCGGGAATCTTATATGGGTGCTTAGACAGGATGATGGAAGGTGAGTGATGTGTTAACCATTTTTATTTGCATAGTTGAGTCCCGGTATGGAAATTTTAGTGTTCCTGAGGTTTTGGGACTAGGTGTCCCCATATGTGGGCTATTTCTTGTTAGTGGATTGTGAAAAAATATTGAGAATGGGGTAATTAATAGCATGTATTATCGATGGGTTGCTATTGATTTTTGAAGAATATTTACCTAATTGGGAAGGATCAGGATTTGGTTTGGTCCTATTTGGAAGATCAGCGAGAATATGTAATTTGTATCAGGTCGAGTTTGTGTACTCCTGTGAATTGTCATTATGGTTATGTTATCAGGCAGAGTGAATACTATTTGCGCCCCTAGTCTATGTTATGTGCTACTCTTTTATGCTGTGTTAGGCAGTGAGGTTGTATGATTATTCCCCACGCATGTTGTAATTCTGTTCAGGCCTTATGGCGATGTGGGTGAGATAGCCCTAGTGATGTTGATTTGCCCATTGCACCTTATATGTGCCTGTACCTCTCATATTTTATTTATTTCTATTCATTCTCCCACAGTTATATTGGTTCACTCTGCTATGCTTGACATCAGTATTTATATAATCTGTGAACCCGAGCATCTTGGCTTGATGAGTATTTGGGAGCGGGCTGCACGCTGCAGCGGATGTTATATGAGATACCCTTTCCTTGTGTTTATTTGGTGTTCTATTTTTCCTCTGTGGAACAATTTGATGAAATCCATATTTTTTGTTGTTGCACATGTTACACTAGTTAGATAATTCTTCTACTTTGCTTTTCTTTATTTGTGCTGCACAATTGAGTTATTGTTGGTTTGGTGTACGAATTGTGTAATGTGAGGATCCGTGTGGTTCCGTGCTGAGCTGTTAGTTGAGTTGCTTGTATTGGCTGAGATGAGATTCTTAGACCTGAGGTTAGTACTATGGTATTGGGGGTGAGGAGTGTTTGAAAGTATGTGGGTGTTTCTGCTAAGATTTGGGTAGTGGCCCTGGCGGGCGAGAGAGTTTCTTGACTTGTTGACTTCATAGGAGGATATGAGTTTCCGCATGTTTCTTTGTCATGGGCAGTGTTGTGGAGGTCCGGAACAGGGTTATAATCAATGAGAAGTGTATTACCGGCATCCAGGATGTTATTTGAGCAACTATGGTGATCAGAGGTTATTGCTTCGGGCATTTGAGTTGTGTGGGGCAGCATGTGATTGTATTCTGGATTGGAATTTTGGACTCGATTCAGCTTGTTAAGGTTCATGCAATGTGATGATGTGGAATTCAGATCCTATGATGAGTTTCGGATGTTGAGGTTTGGGTTCTGTTCGAAGTTATGGGCTAAGGAGGAGATGAGACCTTCAGTTAAGTTGCATTGTCAGTTCTGCTTAGGTTGGGTGATGGGGAATTACCCCCGGGTGTATGTATGGTGAGCTCATGCAGTGGTTCTATGGCTTAGGAACGACTCCGGGCACGTTCGCGGACGAACGTATGTTTAAATGGATGAGGATGTAACGACCCGACTGGTCGCTTTGAGCAATTTCGTCCGGTTCGACAGTTTGAGGTCACGAGTAGCTTCATATTATGTGTACTGACTTGCGTGCATGGTTGGATTCCGTTTCCGGATGATTTAGAGTCAAATTGGAAGAAGAAAACTAATTTTGGAAGTTTAAAACGGTGAAAATTTGACCGGAATTGGACTTTGAGTAAATGGCCTCGGAATGGGTTGTGGGTGATCTCAACAGCTTCATATGGTGATTTTGGACTTAGGCATGCATCTGAATTCTGATTTGGAGGTCCGTAGGGTAAATTAAAGCGTTTCGGCGAAAGTTGGAAAAGTGAAGTTTGAAAAATAAAGAAGTTTGATCCATAGTTGACTTTTGTGATATCAGGGTCGGAATGCGATTCCGAGAGTTGGAACAGCTCCGTTATGTCATTTTGGACTTGTCAGCAAAATTTGGCGTCATTCCGGATTGATTTGATAGGTTTCGGCACGAGTTTTGGTAGTTGGAAAGTTTGAAAGTTCCTAAGTTCGATTCATGGTGTGTTTCGTTGTTCCGGCGTTGTTTGATGTAATTTGAGAACTCGAGCGAGTCCGTGTTAGGTTATATGACTTGTTTGTGTGTTTAGACGGGGTCCCGGGGGCCTCGGGTGTGTTCCGGGTGGGCTACGGGTCATATTCCCGTTGTTTGGACTGCTATTTTCTGCTTCTGGTATTTCTTCTCCGCGATTGCGAGCAGCCTTTCGCGTTCGCGATGTGTTGTTGCTGGCTACCTCGGAATCCTTCTTCGTGTTCGCATTCATCCTCTAACGTTCGCGAAGTTCTGCCCTTTCCCTTCTTCGCGTTCGCGTCCGTCCCATCGCGTTCGCGTAATAGAAAATGGGAGATGGGCACTGCTGATCATTTACTCTTCGCGTTCGCGTCATTCTTCCCGCGTTCGCGTAAGTTCCGCTTCTTCTTCTTCGCGTTCGCATAGGGCCATCCTGGCAGCCTTCATTTTTCTTCTTCGCGAACGCGTGCATCCTTCTGCATTCGCGATGCTTTATGACCTGAGCAGAATAAATAGTACTCTATTCCGAGGGTTTGCCATTTTCACCATTTTTGGAGTTCTAGAGCTCGGTTTTGGGCGATTCCTTGTGGGTTTTTCAAGCAAAATGATTGGGTAAGTGTTCTTAACCTAGAATTGATTATATTCCATGATTTGTCTTCATTTTTATCATTTAATTTGTGATTTGGGTTGAGGAAAATGTTGGTTTTTGAAGAAAATTCCTAAAATGAAAAATCATGATTTGAGGGGCCAAATGGTATCGGAATTTGATAAATTTTGTATGGTTAAACTCGTATCGGAATGGGTATTCAGTTTTTGTAAAATTTGCCGGGTTCCGAGGTGCGGGCTCGAGGGTCGACTTTTGGACCGATTTTTGGATTTTATTAAAGATTGAGACTTTATGATCCGGAATAGTTTCTTATGTGTTTTATTTGTGCTTTGAAGTTAATTTGGTTAGATTTGAGCCGTCCGGAGGTCTCTTCACCCGAGAAGTGCATTTTAGAGTATCGGTTTGTCGTCTTTGAGGTAAGTATCTTGCCTAATCTTGTGTGGGGGACTTCCCCTTAGGATTGAGTCTTATGTGCTAATTGTAGCCCGTGCACGTGAGCTGACGAGTGTGTGCTCGGACTTATTTTTGTGGGAAATTTGCCTTTAGGGTTCTTAGGTCTATATATTTATTAAGTGAGAAGTTTTCCGATATGATTGAGCTTCCTAATTGTTTGTTTTACCTCTATATGCTCCAAATGATATTGTTAGCTTTCCTCTAATCCTTACTTGTTACTTGACCCTTGTTGCCTTAATTGAAGTGATTGCCTCCCTTATTGTTTTGATACTCCTTGATTGTGAGTTCCTCTATGACTTCGTGCAAATATGTTACATGTCCAATTGTTGTGGTTACCGGTGTAGTTATAACGTGTTTATTATGTCTTTTTATTTTGTTAAGGTTATTGTGCTTCTTGGTTTTTCCGTGATCCTTATTATGTACTATTCATGCTTAAATTGACGATTATTCATGTTGAACAAGACATATGATATTCTCTTGGTAATTGATCATTGTTGAGTATTGATTCAAGTTGAGATCCATATTGCGAAGCTAACTGTTGAAACAAGATTGGTTATTGTTGATTCCCTTGCCGGGATGTGATTGTTTCTATAGTTGATTCCCTTGCCGGGATGTGATTGTTTCTATTGTTGATTCCCTTGCCAGGATGTTATTGTTTCTATTGTTGATTCCCTTGCCGGGATGTTATTATTTCTATTATTGATTTCCTTGCCCGGATGTTGTTGCTTTTACTGTTTGGGTGAGGAAAGAGTGATAAAGCATGAAGGGTGATGCCGTGCACATTTATATTGATGCATATGGTGAGGAAAGAGAGATAAAGCACGAAGGGTGATGCCGTGCACATTTACATTTATATTATTCATATGGTGAGGAAGAGTGATAAAGCACGAAGGGTGATGCCGTGCACATTTACATTTATATTATTCATATGGTGAGGAAGAGTGATAAAGTACGAAGGGTGATGCCGTGCACATTTATATTTATATTGATGCATATGATGAGGAAGAGAGATAAAGCATGAAGAGTGATGCCGTGCACATTTATATGATTCATATGGTTAGGAAGAGTAATAAAGCACGAAGGGTGATGCCGTGCACATTTCTATTATTGATTGCATGGTGAGGATTGAGAGTTAAAGCACGAAGGGTGATGCCGTGCACTTTCTGTTGTTGTGTTTATTTGTTGTTATCAATTCAAGTGTTTTGATTGTTTAAATTCCTTTATTGCTGTGATCCTTTGTGTTGGAACCTACAGTGATTTCAGTACCTCTCCGTATTTATATTTATACATTCCAATACTTCAAACTTCAATAATTGTTACGTCTTTAATTCAATTAGTTTCTCAATTATATTCCCTTAAACCGCCTGAGGTTGTATTTTACTTAAAGGGGAATTTCTACTAAGTTTTAAGTCATTAACTCCCATGTTAAAGGTAATAATTCATTCGATGTTCTATTTCAATTGAAAAGGGGCACTTTCTTTACTC